ATGATGAGGAGAGCAGCGAGGTGTCTGATAGTTCTTCGACTTCGGATGCCAAGAAAAAGAAGAAGAAGGATAAGAAGAAAAAGAATGCCAAGAATGGCAAGAAGGATAAGAAGAAGAGCTCCAAGGACAAGAAGGGCAAGAAAAAGACAAAAGCGAAGTCGAAGAAGCCTGAGAAGAAGCCTGAGAAGGAGAAGGAGAAGACTGCAGAGGAATTGCAGAAAGAAAAGGAGAAGGATGAGAAGAGGAAAGATGAAGAAAGAAGGAAGGCTGAGAAAGAAAAGGCCAAGCAGGAGGAGAAGAAGAAGCAAGAGATTCGATCAAAAGGAAAGAAGGCTTGGGCCTGGGCAAGCCATGCACCTCTTTCACGCTGTTGTTCATATGCATATATAAATTAAAACGAGCCAGCCTGTGCACGCATGCATGCATGTGCTTCTTCTTCAAATATGACTTTTGTTTCGAGTGTTCGGACATCTCAACGTAGCAAGTTATGGGACAAGTTCAAACCGTCAGGCTTTGAATGAATTGGTGGCATCGCTTGCGGACATCTCCCGTCGGGAAAAGAAAGCCGGTGAACTGTAACTTGGACACATTTGTTGGGAAATCACTCGATAATGCCAATTGACTTCGACATTTTACAAATCATACGTAGGGTTCGCAGCTCAAGCGACTCAGGATGTTATATATGATGTGATATCATCGTAATATTGCAGCCCAAATGCAAAGCCACCTCTGCTTGAGGTCGGCCAGCTTGCGAGACGCGGTCAGGGAATCCTTGAAGGTGAATCGGACGGCTCTGGCGACTTCGAAGACCGGCATCTCTGAGTTGATTGAGGGCGATGAGGTCATCTATTTTATAAAAAAACATGTGCATTTGATGTTATATACATCGACATCACAATCTCTGTCGTGAGTTGTTAATATTCCATTTATGTTACTCCGTCTACCTGTCCCGGATCTGTGCATCGAGTGTCAGGTGGAGAAAATGTCATCAGCAACTGCTGAAGCCAACAGAGTTCTGAAAGAATGGAAGAATTGCAAAGCAATGTTGTAATTGCTGTAGCTGAAGACCGGCTCTTTTGGCACCGTACTAGAAGTCTCATGAAATATGTTGTTACAAAAAACAACATGAACAACATCGATATTCGATATAGGGTTGGTGCACACAGTACACATGCCAATAGCGGGATAGCAAATTCCAAAGTGGTCACGTCAGACCGTGGCTGCTCGATTCTGAGCCTGCTATGTGGTAATTTTGTTACCAAAGTGTGTGAATGCACACACACACATCTATTTGCTCGAGATGAGATCACAAGTGTTGATCATTAGGATCAATCTGAAGCTGATTGGGGCGGCTTCAAAAACAGTTAACGCATCGATGAATTTCTGGAACCGAATCTATGTGCACCAAATGCTCATGCATGTGTGTGGTCGGTCGACCTTTGATAAAACATGATCTAGAATTTGCACGTCGTATCTGTGCAGGCCCCTATGACCGCGATCGCAACCGTGAGCTGTCCTCCTTCGTGCTGTCCGCTGTTGATGATGTCGCAGGTAGTGTTCCTTGGATGCGCGTCTTCCGTGCTTTGACCCATGCACCACTGATTCCTCATGATTCCCAATCATGCAGTCGAGTCCAACAGAGATCTCATATTGCAAACTTGCGTATATTGGCTGATTAAATATGTGACTGATCACAGCTAAGGTCTCCAGTATCAAGCAAGCAATGCGGAATCTCAGAAACCATTACAAAGAAGCTCAACTAAACAATGAAACTGCATCCATGTTAGTGCAATGGAGTCAAACGTTTCCATCGATGCATCGGCATGCACGCAAATGACATACATGCATGAGTAATTTAATGTGCAAAAACTTATAAAACACATGTGGCGGCCCGTGGCGGCGACTAAGGAAGTTGGAGCCAGCAGAATCAAGAGCTCTGCAGTGCTTCGATTGGCAACGAGGTCCAAGTTCAATACTGTCCGTGACTTCTTTAGTTTTTGCCATGTACCGGTCGAGACTTGGGCTTTATTTGGCCGTCCATTCATCAAATGCATGCACACAGTTTGTTTTTAAATCAACCCTCAACACGTCGGTCGATGCGTGTTCTTTTTGTGCCTTGCACGCCGTTTCACCATGCACGCATGAGGAAACGGCGACAGTTCGAGCTCCGGTGAAAGACCTCAAGAGTAAGAGGGGGTTCAAATGGATAGATATCGAGATGCTTGAACCTTTCAGTCTTATTCAATATTTGTGGAACGATGTCGGGTTGCAGATCGATGAGAACCAGGTGCGAACATTCTGGACAGAACATCGCAATCGAGGCACCGCCTGGGCAGTTCGAGCAGAGTCAACTGATTTTATCCCTTTGGGATTGTACGGTGATTCATGTCGAATAAGGCACATCGCACATCAGCCGGTGCAGAAGGCAGTTGGGATATTCTTGAATTGTCCTTTGTTCCGGCCCAACAATGCAAGGGCGAGTCGGTGGCTACTGTGCACTATCGATGAGAACTTGTTGTTCAAGCATGTGACCCTAAACAGAATCTATGCTCGGTTGGTCTGGAGCCTGAACATGCTGTGGGAGGATCGATTTCCGGCATGCGGACCATTCGGGGAGGCTATCCCTGAAAGATTCAGGCATCGCGTTGGCAAGCCGATCACAGGCAAGCGTTTCCAGGTTGTCGAATTGCGCGGTGATTGGGTCTGGCACAAACAAGTGCTGAGATTCAATTCCACTTGGTTGGCTGGTGCCAGGAAGCCAGTTTGTTTTCTGTGTCCGGCATATCGTACTGGAGCGCACCGGTATACCAATGTCACAGAATCGAACCCACTGTGGGACTGCCAGTACGATTGTCCAGAGTTCATTCGGTGTGAACTTCCTTCGCGGGGCCCGAGCTCCTCGGCAAGGTGTTCAAACCTTGCTCTACTTGTGGAGTCAGTTTTCATGTGACTGATCTTTTGTGGATCGATGGATGTGGATGGTTTGTTCTATCATTGTTCAATTGAGGCCCACTCGTGCTTTTGCGAGGGTTCGATCCATCTTGCCTGGCAATCTGTTCGATGCACTGCATCAATCTTGGATTGATGTATGGTGTAAACGGCAGTTGTCTGAGTCATGTCCGCATGACTATGGTAATGGTAATACCACATGATGCATGCACACTACGATCTGCATTTCTGCTGATTCTCGATCCTAGGATGACAATCGTGGAGAGCACTGACATCTTTGGTCGCCACGGAGATCTTACTTTGCAGGAGACGCTTGCTTTAGGTCGACCTGTTTGTTGCTCTCAATACTCGCAGGAGCAATTTGACTTGGCGTACATGAGCTTCAAAGAGTTTCTCAAGACAGCCAAGATTCGCTGTTCCCAACCTCCATTCACTGTGAAGCTTGCCACCTGGGCTAATTATGTTTCACTTGCGGCGCTTGTGCTCCTGGGACGTTATGCATGCATGCAGGAAGGTGCATGCAGGCATGAAAAACAATGTTTTGAATTCATGAGTGCACAACTCAGCCACTTCTGCCATTTCAAGGTTGTGAAGTCATCGGATGAAATCCTCATGACAGGAAAGGCATACAACAATCGGTGCATACAATTGTGGCTTGAGCACGTCATGCGCACTGCAGCTGCGATGCACACCTCGGATGAACGAATTGGCCATATGTCAGTGTGCATGCCTTCCGGCTGCATGCACATGTGAGCGTGTTGTTTTGCAAGTACTGCACACTGCCATGTACTGTATTATTTTTGGCCTGCACTGGCATGTTGTCACAAGGACGGCGCTTGCGAGATTCATGCATTTGGTGGAGGCTGCCCCTCGCTTCTTGTGCTTTAGCCGCATGAATCCTTTTTCACGTCTGAAGCGTCACAATTACTCACATGAACTACCAGCATAAGGTCGCAACGACAGGCAGATGAGATCCATCACGAAGGAATGCTTTTTGCTAGGATGCACGTTTTGCTCAATGCTGAAAGCGCAAGGCACCTCTTTGCGATCGATCTTTGTTTGATTGTGTGCGCACACAATTGATATCTAGAAGCTGTTAACTTGCATACTGCAGGCTTGGGAAGCCGCATTTTGTCATCCGTCCTAAACTGCATGCACCTCGCTTGCAGAATTGTTCAAAGACTCGATGTTATATTGATGTCATACACGTGGACGTGCACAACCATGAGAATGTGTTCTTCATGCCCAGGCCTTGCACACCTCCTCTTACAAGTTCGAAAGAGAATCTTGTATGCACATGTGTTATGATGCATGTGCACGGCACACACAAGTGTTTTATCGCAAAAGGTGTTTGTTCTGCGCGTTTCCGGCATTCTGTCCAGGATGCAACTTTCGATACCACCATTGCTTCGTGGACGAGGATAACATGGGATGGCTTCGACGTATCCCAGTGGCAAAATAACTAATATTGCTTGCATATATTCACCATGGACCATGCATTGGTGAGTGCTAGTGTAGGGATTGATCGGGATCACTATCTGAGGTACGGTGCTACGAGCTCATGGTGCCAATCAAAGGGGGTGGGCATTGCGTATGAGCAAACTTCGCCTGTGGACCTTGAAACACAAGATATTCAAGCTTCTGGGCTGTGATATGCAATGAGTGACAACATCGCTCTGGGTCAGGAATCTAGAGAAATCTGTTTGTGCATATGGAGCTTCAAACATGGTGTGCCTATAATGACTTGATCAAATCGCTGCATGAGGCTGCGTCAATCCTCTAATCGGAGGAAGTGAAGGTTGAAGACCGCTCGCTCGAAAAGAAACATGTGGGTGCGTGATGGCGCGTGATGAGGCGTGACTCGCGAACGACCATAAGAGTCTACGTCCTTCACATAAAGACTATAAAATCGATGGTCTTTTGACTCTCTGGGTTATTGTTATTGTAATTAAAACATAATAATCCATTTTCCCAGGGTCACTGGGACACACCGTACACCCTACACCTTTACACCAGGTGTTCACGATCCCACGCGTCCAGAGAGAACACTCCTCGGTGAGCTCCGCGTTCTGCCCGGTGACATCCACGGCGTTGGTGTCCAACTTCAGGGGCGGGCCCAGGCCCAAGTCGTGGGCCTTGCAAGCGGCTGGACGTGGGTCTCTAGGCCTTTCTTCTAGGTAGAAGGAAAGGAATAAAACAAATAAAACAATAAAAATAGAATAATAAAAATAAGAATATAAATAATAATAGTAGTAATAAACAAATAAGAAAAACATAAGAAACATACAAATAATAAGAAGAAACAGAATAAGGAAAAAATAACAAGAAAAAAGAAGCAAATCAAGAAGACAACAAATAAAAATAACACAAAGAAAAACATAATAATAATAGTATATAAGAACAAGAAGAAGCAACAAGAAAAAGAAACATACAAAGAAAAAGATGAAGAATAATAAGAATAAGAAAAATAAGAAATATATATAATAAATACAACAATAATAAGAAAACAATAAGAAGAAAACACAACATAAAATTACTACTAATATGAACAATAAGAAATAGGAAGAACAAGGATAAACATAAACAAAAGAAGAATACCACCAATAGAACAATACGCAGAAACCAACAAAATCTAAGAACAAATAAGAGTAAACAGAGAGACGCATAAGAAGCAAATAAAATTCGAAGAAAATAACACAATAAGAATAACAAAAATAAGAAGACTAAGAAAAAATAAGTAGAGGAAAACGAACAAGAAAACTAATAATCATAGAAGAAGAAGAGGGATCAAAACGAAGATGCTGGCAGTTGGACGATGGCTGGACCTAGTGGAGATTGTAGAGATTTTCTTGAATGTGAGGCGTCCAGGAACGATTTGTCGGAAGCACATCTATCATCTATCTCTCTCATCGATAGAGCCTTGAGGCTTGGAGTCTAACAGTCCTAAGTTGTCTCACGTGGTGGTTGTGCAAGCATTGTTGTGTGTGTTTAGGGGTCGGACATTGAGAAATGGCTCTGAAGCATTCCGTGACCGCCCCAAACCCACCATGGCTGAATCTAAAAGATTGGATGGCCGGGAATAAGAAAAGCTCAAAATATCAAGAGTCTTGTTTTGTGTTTACAAACTACGATGTTGGGAACTAATCGGAATCATGCTAGGATCTTGTTAGTGGTTGATGACTGATAAGGAGTGTCATTCTCATTCAAACCAATTCTGATCTCTTTGGTTCTTTCCCCTTCACATTTCTTTGTGTGTCACGTGTCGGGGTCAACTGGTAGCGACACAGCTGGGCCTGGTAAATCTCCTTCTTTTCAGTGAGAAGGTCCTGCACAACGAAAGCTGCACGATGGAGAGCGTTGTAATTTGATGTAATTTGTATATGCTTTTGCAGCCAACTCGCTTTGAGAAGAGCCCTTCCCTCAAAACGAGTCAACCAATTTGATATGGACAATGTTTGGCGCCTGTTTGCAAGATTATTTGCTGCCATGACCACTTCTGCGGTCCTGAAGAATCAAATAACGCTCTTTCCTCGGAAGGGAACCGAGCGGATCGACCCGCGCGTCGTCCATTCCTGTTATTTATGAAAGGATCTATGTCTGACTATGGTGGTCTTATGATCTGTTGTCTTCATTTCTTGTATCCCTAGGCGCTAGGCGCATGACGAGTAGTGCAACGATTGTTTCAGGTTCGTCCTTCGGAAGTTTCCTGACCAAGCACCCATTGGATTGCCGGTGGCAAGCAATGGATCTGAGGAGGGAAGGAGGAGCAAGCTCCAACCTTTATCGGAAAAAACATGCAGAACCAATGAATGCAACCACTTTAATTATACTGTAGCCATTCTCCTTCTGGCAACTGGACTTCCACGGAATGCAAGTGCCCAGCGTCTTTTCATGCTGTGCACGCGTGGGCCAGTCAAAGGCAAACCAAGACAATGGCGGGAGGATCTCGCAGTAGTCGTCACCTCCAATCATGCCAATATTGCACCGAAAATTGATAAGTCCCTATAAGTCGCACTGGACATACATACATTGACCTGGTCTGACCTGGATTATACGAGTACTGCCCACATCGAAGCGCCGCGCCACGCGCCACGCTTCAAGTGGCTGGCGCCTAGAAAGCGCACCGCCAAGGTCCTCGAGTCTGACCAATTCTCCACGCGATATGGGGGTGGCTCATCCTGAGTGCCGGTGCCCAAAGGACACGGACGCCACGAGGACAAAGAGAGATAGAGGGGGTGAACATGGACGAATGGAGGCTGCGAAAGTAGTCGAATGGGGGGTATCTTGGGGTGCGAAAGTGGCGCTGCAAGTCCGTTGGCATCTTGGGATCAAGTCCGACACGAAGAGTGACCTGAAGCGAGAACCAATCCTTGGGACTTTTGTGCATGAAGCATCGACCCCAATTCACTGGCGAAATACATTACAATATATTACAATTACGATTCCAATTTGCCGAAGCAAGGCGAACTGAGGTAGCTGAAGCAGCCTTTTGTTAAAAGACTGATGGGGTTGACAAGGCAAATCAAGACGTCCAAGAGCAAGCACCCACGCTCTATGAAACCCGGAACTGTCCAGAATCTGTCCCAAGGCCTGACCCTATTCTCACCCACGACACCAGCTGTGGCCGTCAAGGCGCGCTGAGGATCATAAAGGCGGTGCTATTTCTCACCTGCACATCGTAAGCCGAATCCAACAAATCCCGTGACTCATGACCACCTGCCCAAGCTTCACCAAAACCTGGCCCAATCCACGTACAATTTAACTGTTGTTGATCTATCATGATTTACTCACATCAATCTCTACTTCAAGCACGGAAGCATGCTGGCAGAGTGCGCCTGAACAGAGCATCGCATAAAGCTCACCCCAGACGCACCGCCAGTGCTGCCAGCGCTAGATAGGGCCACCACCTTCTCTTGTGTATTGTTCAGCCCCAACCAACCTGAGCTGCCGAACTGCTCCAGTGTGGGAAGTTCCTTCAAGTGGGTGAACATTTGCGGCACGAAAATCAGAACCCCCCCTTCTGTGTTGACAATCCTGCACTTTCAGCTTCAAAGGTGTCATCTCATGTCTACGACCTACTTACTGGGGTCTGAGACCTTCTGAGACCATCCTGAAGCACGGTCGAATGATCTGCTGGAAACCGCCGCTTTAGGTGCGATCCTGACAGCAATCTCCAGCTCAACCATTCACCCCACCCTCCCAAAACCAAGATGTGAGAGTCTTGATAAGTCAAATAGTAAGTCACAGGACTGGAAACAGCAAACACTTGGTGGACCACTGTACTTTGTCTGACCAGGGGCCGCTCCAGGGGAGGCCTTTGCCCATCTGCAGGTCATAGTCATTGTCAATGCCTTGTCACAGCCGGTAGGGCGGTAGGCTCGGCGAACTTGGCTAACAGGGAGGCTCAAAATAAACGACTGATGTTGCTGGAACATTCCGAAACTCCACCTATCATCTTCTGACCGCAATTCAAGAACTTGAACATTTCATAGTGATGATATTCAAAGTACAGTAATTAATTCTTTCCATCCGGTTCCTCGTCTCTGCCAGCCCCCGCACTGCTGGCAAACAATGTGAGCTGGTTTCGCAAACCATCCGGCCCGCCACCACATGCCTGAACACCGAAGAGGAGCGCCCCGCCGCCCAAACAAAAAAAAACACACGAAGAACGGTGATTTTGCAGGGTCTGGTCTCTCCTTTCGGGGGCGCCACGGCCACGGCCATGCTGTGCAGCTTAAGGCTCGCTGTGCGAGGAAGATCACGCAGCCCCGGCCCACGCCATCGAAGTTGCAGCGGCCTGCCTGGACGCGACGTGCCAAAAGAGCCGTTCGTGTCCACCGGGCAACAAGTGCATCGCTACTAGTAACGAGGGCACTACTACCAGTAACAAGAAGCTACTATTAGCATCTATTAGCCATTTCCTTTCGCTTTGGCTACTAGTAGTAAATGCACTTGTTACTAGTAGTAATTATGCCCTTTGTCGAACGTCGTCTTCATCACCTGTTTGGACCTCGGTCGCAGAACACCCTTAGGTCGACACGATGAACCGAGCAATTGAAGGGAAGCCAACATTCAGTTCTAGCCCTCCAGAATTGCCTTGTCTATATATAATCATAAATAAATATCCCCTTTGAAATAAAGGGGGAGGGGTTGACAACCGCAGTTTTGTAAGGGCTCCAGGGTTGCAGTCTACAGAAAGCCCTGACCCAAGGGCATTGGGTTTGTACAAAATGACATGAGCCAGAGTGGGCTTATACAAACAGGTTATGCCTGAAGATCACTATCTTGTGCTGAAAAGTGCATAAAACAGCCATTTAGCAAAGTGAGTTCTCTACAAAATGGTATCAAATACCTGGTCGAGGACATGATTTAAGACTCCATTTGTTGACCATTCCGGAACCATTCTGTAGAGAAACTGTGTGCGCACGCATCTGACTGTTCTTTTTTTAATCCAAACTTGAGCGGCGATTGTACTGTGCAATGGCATATGTTGAACATCGGACTCTAATAGACGATGTCAGAAACTATATTATTTTGTGTTTTTGTTTAATGAACTTGCGGTGCTAACGGAAAGTATATTAAACAGTGCTTACATCTAAAAATCTTGCTTACAGTACAAAATGGGGATGACCCTGAACTATCTCTACAAAATGTGAACCTCAGGTATTTGGAGACTAATTCACATTATCCATTCTAAACTTGACCTTTGCTGTCCTGTGAAATAGTGTGAAATGCATTCAAATGCCAATATGATTCTTTGTTCATGCCGACTTTGTGTGACATGCCAATATGATTCTCTGTTCATGCCCACTTTGTAAAGACAAACATTGGTGACAGTCATTGTGTAAACAAATCTTTGGTCCATCCTCATTTGATGAATCGTGGCTGAGTTTCTCAATGCTCTTTGGTCAGCGGAAGGAAGAGTTGGCACCACGTGTACTGGGACGAGTCCATTGGATGCAGAGTGGATTTGTTTTATGTACACCGGGTACGCCGCTGAAAAAGTTGTTGGCGCAACTCAGGGGGGTAACCGGCATAGCCATAGATGGCTCAACACCACATACTGAACATTAATCATCACGAAAACTAAGGCTGCACCTTGACCAAACCAAGCGTTTTTTGTAGATTCTATAGATGGCGCATCCCAAAGCTCTTTTTCCCATCCTAACAAATGAACGCGGCAAACAAACACAAGGACTGCTCAGGAATCTGGACATTGAAGGATCAGTGGTGAGATTTGCAGAATTGAAACCTACTGTATGCATTGATTGGCATTGCGCCATCTGTGGTTCTGACACAAAGCCTCCATGCGCAGAAAAAAGGGCAAGATTTTTGGCAACAAAAATGTTGTAGTTTTTCAGGGTTTTTGGACTTGTAGATGGCGCAACAGTGTGTTGCCCCCTGGAGTTCGAAGACGAAGCAACAAAAAAATACAAACCATCAATTTTCACCTCGGAGTATGTATTTGTATCTGACTCAGGCGACTAAAGAATCTGACTCCAAGAAACGAACACTCAAACGTGTACAAAAAGGGTACCCTGACCCCCTGTTTTTCCTTGATTTTGGCGCTGTACAAAAAGGGTACCCTGACGTCCTCATGTCTCATATAAATGTTCTCTAATTTTTTTGATCATAACTTGGATGCCGATTTTGACTCTACAAAATGGGAGGGTGTAAGTTTCGGCATCTGCCAAAAAGTGCTTTGTTACAAAATGACCCCTTTGTAAGGGCCTCGAGCTACCCCTATCTGTAGAGGAAATTTCAACGGGGATAAATAAATATACAAAAAATATATACACGATACGTTTATGTAATTGTTGAATCTTTTTGTGTATTGGGAGTGAGGCATACAGTAGTGTGCGACAATTTGTACTGAGATTGTGTCACGTGAAGCTGTCGATGAGAAAGGGTGGCCAAACGAGTCAGGTGCAATTTGTGGCAATTTGATCAATGGCATCAATTTCAAGACTGACCATCAAACCATGGTTCCTTACACAGCACACGATTTTCTCGAACGTTGGCATCACTGCAGGGAACCCAATTTGTGTTGTCGCAGCCAAGCACAATGACAAACCTTCGCTGGGTGCATCCAACATCACTAGTCAGCCTCACCCCCTCGCCTGGTAAGGTAACACGGGAGCAACTCAGCCGATTTCGCGGGGCGGTCCCAGTTGTATCATTGGTGACAATTCTTTGAGCTTCTTCTTCGAGATTGACCGGTGACCCTCACTGCAAACGGTAACCCCCGTGTAAGCCCCGGCCTTCATCTGCGCTGTGAACATCCTGACGGGGATGAAAAGCGAAGAGGGACTGACCCTCTGGCTTTGGAGCTTCAACCCGGGCAAGGTTACTTCAACCACGGATGGAAAGTAGCGGGAAATCATCTTCCAGGGGTCATCTGGTGAGTTTGCGGGGTAATTAGCCTCTTCATTTGCACGTTCCGTCGTCTTCGCGGTGCAGCAACGTCTTAGAATAATCGGCAGGTCACACCATAATAGCACCTGAGGGTCCCGGGGTCGGTTCTGCACCTACAAGCTTGGTATAGTCTTACATAGTCTGGTTGTTCTGTCTTGTGTTCAAGCCTGTGTTGGGTTTGTGCTCAATTCGCGTACATGTAATTGTATATAATATGCCTTCTCAGCATGCTGTTCTCCAAGCACGGGGAAGTGCTCAAATTCGAAATAAAAGGCAAACACATGCCAAAACTATGCCACCAAACACTTGCTATCACATGTTCAGCATGGTTCCATTGGAGGCTGTGACATCCATTGCCTGTATATATAATATTGCCTACATACCAGTGTTCAACGATCTCATACTCAAAATCCACATCATGTATCCAACAAAAGTAGCCAAGGCACTGCAGCGTAATCTTGTGATGCCCTTGCGAGCGCAAGTCAAGAGCCTCGCATGGCCAGTAAAGCTTTTCTGTGATGGCGACGTGGATGGCAGCGCATTGCTACCCTCGCCAAAGGCTCAACTGCAAGTGCTATGACTACCGCACATACTACAAACCCATGGATAGTTGTTCTTTCTTTTGCAGAAGGGTTGATGTGATTAGTTTATGGAATGTGTATTCTTTTTTGTGCTTATGTTTTTGCATTGGAATGAAGAACTCAGCCAATTTGTAAAGAGTTTCGTTATATACTTTTGCAGGTAGTTTAGGAACAAGCGGCCAGTAAGAATGAATTTAAGTTTTTATAAGTTTTTGCCAGCAGGCTGTGGCACACAGCATTCTCTTTCTTGCTGTGTTCAAAGATCGACGCAGTGTAGAGCCTAGTAGTAGAGTGAAACCGAGCACCGTTAGAAGGGCTACTGGACCATAGTGGCCCTCAAACCTCCTGGGTCCGTCGGCAAACATATATAATAAAAGGATGGACGGGAGTGAAGTGCAGGCTCTAGGTATCATCTAAAAAAATCTAGGAACCAAATCATTAGTGCGAGCGCTTCTTCAAGGAAGCTTCCCCCGCCGCCCTGGGGGAGTTTCGTTGAAGAAGCGCGAACTATCCTGCGTCCTGTCGGTCCGGTAGTAGCTACTTAAACCGTTACTTAATTAAGTAGGCGCCTACTTACTTAATTAGGGAGGGGGGAGCGGGCTAAAAAGAACAAAAAAATAAAGGCAAATTCTTGAGAATCCCTATGAACCCCTCGATGCTCGGCAAACACTTGACCTTCAAGAGCGGGAGCTGGTTCTGCAGTCAAATCACACTGGACCCTCTGCAGCCGTGAGGTGTGACTTTCAGAGACGTTTGGTGTTCAGTCGCGCCTCACACTCCTTCCATGGCTCTTTCCTTAGCCACTCTGCTCCGAGCTCAGAGATCGGCAGTCCTGACACAAGTCCATTGATGGAATTTGGTCTGATCTTATGGCACCCACGTCTTAGACACACACACACACTTATAGAAATGCGTGCTGATTTGGTTGCGGGTTGCCACACCAGCCTAAGTCTTTAAGTGAAAAACCTAAGAAACCAGGGTGAGTAGAAGTTATGCGGTTCAAACCTTCACAACTCAAAGTTCTCAAATTTCCAAAGTTCCAAATTGCCCAACCGCGAAGTGATCGATCGACAAGGACGACGGAACGTGCAGAGTCTGCAGACGATGAACCGATGCAAAGGCTGAAGGTCGTGTTCTAATTACAACGGGGCCCAGTAGGAAATGTGAAGTCATCACGAAGCAGGTATGTGGATTCTGCGTCCAGAATCCATGTCAGTGACTCGTAACAGCCTCTTCGTTGGACTGCAACTGTTACAAGTCAGGCAGTCCCCCTGCTGAAACAGAAAACAATCCAAAAGGAACCTTGTGACTCCAAAGGTTACACACACACACACACAGCCCGAAACCATTTTCAAATCACTGTGCTTGGTGCATCATGCTGCTCCTGGAATCCATGCATATACCTATAGGTTGGGCCTATCCCATTCCCAGTGGATATTTATTCCGCTTTCCATCTTAGTCAGCCACTGATTGTGGCCACGGATGACTAGTCAGCTGAAGCGCACTAGTGGCCCAATGCTCAACCTGTACAAGAATCATCATCGGGAACGAATGTTTGCAAACAAAACTTAGAACGGAATGTCGAGTTCAGCATTCAGCAGGATGGGTCACCGTAGATTTCGAAGTCATCCTCCAAGCTCTTGAGAAATTACGCGCAGGCGGGGATACGTGATTGAGATACTTATCCAAATGCGCATATGTTTCAGAAGCACAAGCAAGTTTGGGGATTCCATGTGCACCAGGGTGCCATCCCCGCACTCCCAGCCAACCAAGAGTGTCCAATCTCTGATTTCGCAACCTCTGACCACGAAATGTATGGCAACCTTGTGAATCAAGCCAGGTAAGGAAGAGTTGGAATGTTTTGGATTGTGCATAAGCCCTACACACATGTCAGGCAGTGCATATTGCGCAATGTTGTGCGAAGGTCTGTCCTTACCCGATGTAGTGTTAACCGGTGACTGACTGTTGGTGAGGGTCATGAAATCGAAATACAGTTCCAAGAAGGTGGTAGCCCCCTGTAATGATGATGCCTAGTAAAGGACTTGTTCAACAATAGTGATAAATGTTTACCGACTCTTACTGGTAAACCCACAACTATATATACTTATATAGTGTATGTATGTATATATATAATATATATATATAGACATGTCATGCATTAAAACAACACACACACTCTGACATTGGTTTTCAGTTACACTCAATTTCCCGATGGGAAGAAAGGCGAAGAACCGCAAGGTGGAAAAGTCAGCTGAAACAGTATGGTTGAACATGGTTT